AAGTCACCAAAGTTGAGGAACCCCACTCTAGATGCTGTTGCAACACTCCTCAAAGGGGAACCCTGTTTATTCAGCTGCCCTCATTCCCAAACCAAAGACCAAACCCTGGAAAGAACGTGCTTACATTCTGACAGCAATACTACATAGGGCTGTCATAGGCTTATAACTTACTTTGCAATGCTCCAAGCAGGCTCTACCGCTGTGACCACTGGGTCAGGACTATAGCGGAAGGAGACAGTCCCATTTGTGCTGATGTTGGCACGGTCAATGCGAAGACTGAGATTGGCAGGGCCTGGGCCTAACGCCGAGGGGGGAGACAGGCAGACAATCTCCTCTGCGCTACGCCTTGGGAGGGTAAGGAAGAAGGGAGCATTAGTAGTTGCTCCTAATAATAGCCTCCTCCCATAAATAATGTAAGACTGTAAAATTATGGTCTCCCTCTATCTTACACTGTTTCTAACAGTACACAGGTTCCACTGTCACAGCTCCTCATTTCACACCAGCTGGATCTCTATTTTTTAGATAATAGCTAATCAGAGCACTCAGAGCTTCATGGCCAAGCAAGGTTTGCATCTGGGCCGATGCAATTTCATTTAGTACTTTTGAATACTTGTCCTATGATGCCACACTGACTCTTAGACCATTTGTTCTCCAAGGAGACTAACTTCTATGACCATTAAGTGTCCCAAAGTAGATTTTCCCACTGTTTTCTTGATATATTGGATTTCAGTTTCCATAATCCTTAAATAGTGTGGCTTTATGTTTAAAATTAAAGTGCCTGATTGACTAGCACTGGTAACAATACAGCTGGGTCATGCAGTCTAATTCAAACAACATAGTTGCCCATAATTCATAATTCATAATTCAAACAACCCATAAACCATGGGTCTGCAAACCTGTGTCTGGATTTCACACATCACATTAAACCAAAAACATACAAGTCACATTATGCTTAGCACAATGCTCAACCCAGACACTGCAACGTCACATTGTAATTTCTTGCTTTTTTCCAGTTTGATCAAGAAGATCCCTCCAATTGAAATCTGAATACTACCTGATTAGTCGACATGGTGCTCCCCGAATTGCAACTGTGACATTGCTCCCAGCATCCAGATGGTTTCCTAGGAGGCTGATTTTTGTCCCACCTGAGGTGGGACCTCGTTCTGGGTCCACCCCAAAAAAGCTGGGGGTCTACAAGGGACAAACATCAGTAATGAATTGCCTGCTGAGATACACACTTCAAAAAAAATCTCCCCTTCTCCAAGTAAATCAATCTACCTCCTGAGCAAAACCCACTCTAAAACTCTCTGGGAGATGTTGCTTGCATTATAAACTATCCAGGACCTCTATAATTGGTACCGAATAATGACTTTAACCTGTAAAACTGCTTACCACAAAGGTGAAAGGAGTATCCGACTGGGTCCGATAGTCAGCGCTGCAGTCCCCTACGCAGAGCTCCACGGGACCTGGGGGAGGATCTGGCAAAAGCGACGGCTCAAGTTCACACACCAGCCTGAGGGGAAGGGGTGAGATCTGTCCAAAGAGCCCAGGCCAACCCACTCAGCCCCCCTGTACCATAAGCCCCTCTCCACCCCACCCCTCCTTCTATCAGAATGGGCCACTCTCTTGAGCAGGCTTTTACTCTCTTCTCTCTGCCTCAGGCTGGAGGTACACGAGGCCTGATTTGCCCCAGAGTAGCTTTAGTAAGTCTCCATCTGCCCCATCCCCTTGCCTAGGAGTTTCTCTTAATGTTGTGGGGGATGCTTTAACAAAAAAGCTGAATATTCATGAGGATTCAGGCTGTGAGGTCTAGGCTGCATGAGACAGTCCTTCCAGACTGTCCTGTGGGGTGGGGAGCATGACTTGTGAGGGAGGGCAGAGCACTTGTGCTGTAGAGCAGCAAGGGATAATCCAGGGCTGACAGGGCGTGATGAGCAGCCCCTCGGAATCCCATTGGTGTTTCCTAGCATGCCAAACTATGGTAGCACAATAGCAGGTTTTCAGTGTTTTTCAAAATGAAGGACGTAAATGGAAGCAGGAGCCCAATCATTCCTTTTTCTATTAACTCAAACTCCCCCAAATGCTGTAATTCAGCCATTTTAGCCCTCTGTGTGTCTGTCTGTCTGTCTCTCTCTTTCTCCTCTATCTACATCCCCTCTCTCCAGCTAGCATGAGGGGAGGAAAAGCACCTCTTGCATTTCAGGGACTGACTCCTCAAAACAAACTCTGAGACTGAACATGTGACAGCCATAGAAAAAAAATCAAGGAATTCATTCGAGTGCTTCCAAAGATGCTGCAGGTAAACTGTGAAGAGCAACAGGGGAGTAAGAGGGACAGTGAGTAAGAACACAAGTCGGGCAAGTCTCCAATTCCAACCTCACCTCAACAATGAACTCATTGGGGGGGCTAAAAGAAGCCACTCACTGGGTTCAAAAGATTGTATCTTTGCTTATTAAGCCAAAGCATACTGAGGCTTCCTCTTGCACACATTAAGACCACAGGAGGTGTACTCACATCACAGACACTGTCTCAATCACCCTTCTCCTGGTTCTAGCCTGAGTTGCTTAGCTAGGTGAAGCAGAACACAAATGGTGTTCCCACTCTGCAAAAGCACAATGCATTGGTACAGTGAACCATTTCCTGCTAGCTGTTCATCACGATCTTGCCAGTTTTAGATGGGTTTGATCATACTGCATGGCTGGGTGGGTCCAGCAGCCTCTTCCCACATCATTTAAGGTAATAAAACCAACCTGCCTTTCCCAGTGCTGTTATAAGGCTCATCGAGGGCCAAAAAAGGTATTACACGTAGTTGTGCTTAACACACCCCGACTTTTTGCACATTGGTTTTCAAATGTAAAGCAGGAGCAAAACTGAAAAGGTGGGGGTAGGGGAATTTTTAAGAGAAAAATTAAGGTTCTCCACCCAGCACTTAACTTCAAATTTGATCCCTCCAAGCCAATTCTTGTTTGGGGAAAAAAAGGCTCAGGGACACTGTACATGGAGGACTGTTCGGCATGAAGATAACATCTACAAAGTGCTGTGCACAAACTGAAGTACTAGAAACCCTAAATGCAATCTATTCCTAGTAGGCTCAATGTTCCAGTATTTCTCAGCCTATTCGTGGTAGTGGCTGCAATGGGTACTTATGAAATGTTAACCAAAAGTCACTACATCATGTCCACGAACAAAGCAATCCATGTTGACAGATTCCAGGCTTGGCTGCAGTGAAGAAGCTGAAAGGCAATATTCAGAAGTAGATTTTTGCAGTCTTCCTAGAAAACACTCTTTGGCAGAATAAAGAACACTGAAAGAGGAAATGGGAGGCAAGGGATTTTTCACATGTACTACTGTTATTATTACAATGAAGTCAGGCTCAATCCATCTGAAGAAAGCGCTCCCTATTTTAACCACCAGGGCCCAGGAAATTATACTGACAGACTGCACAGAAGCAGTAAAGCAGACCCTACAGTTGACACAGCCTTTTCCTAATCTTTTTGTTTCTGTCTGGATTCCCTTGTTCTATTCTTAGACTGATCCCAGGTTCTACTCTACCCACTTTTTTTCCCCACCCAATCTTCACCTACCTCTCAGCGCTGATGTATTCTGCAGGAAGAGAGCTACATCG